TCATGAGGAATTTTTAATACTGTATTCCACTTTTCCAAGTTCTAGAATTTATAGGATTTCCTATTTTTGAACAAGTGCTGAGTAGAAAAGAGAAGCAGCCTTGCTCTTTGCAGTCTGGTATTTCGTTGAGTAAAATGGGTCGGTAACTACACTGAGAGATCACTCCAGCTCCAGTGCTTTTACTGTGTCCATTCTCAGTGTTTTTCTCTGGGATCTTTGAGCTGCTTTTCTTTCTTAGCTGTACCCTACTTCTTTTTTACAGTGTGAAACTAACAAGATGAAAAGGCTAGAAGCAGCCAGGGAGTGCACACCTGGCTACTGAGATTTAGTATTGACATTTAGTATTGACGTTTTGCCAAGGACAAAAGACTGCATTAAAAAAAAAGGGGCAAACATAAAGCAGGAGGGGACCGGACATGGGGTGGAGCGGGGCTCTGACAGCAGCCAGGCGTCCACAGGCAGCTGCCAGCTTCCCAAGAGCAAGCAGCACAGGGACGGGCGTCCGCAGGGCCTCCACTAAGGTAAAACCCCGTATGAAGCACCATGCTGTGCAGTTGTTTGTTCTTACTGTAAAATGAATTTCTCTTGGTTTTTATTCTTTCCTCTCGAGACTGACAGAATACGGTTGGGTGGGAAGAAAAAAATTAGAGGGACGTGTAGCCTTCCTAGTTATGATTAACATTTAAATATTCACTGAGGCAACATGGCTTTTTTTTTTTTTAAGGTTATAAATGTCAAAAAGATTGTTCCTTCGTCGCAAAAACATGGACAGAGCTTCTGAAACATGTGAGAGAAGACCATAAAGGTAAGGCAGTCACGAATGGCTTGGCATAAGTATCTGCCTCACTGGAACTGACCTATTCCCTGAATACTTAGTCTAAAATGAGAGTGCTTCTGTGGTCGGGTTTTAAAGTGCAGGACCTCAGCTGTCTGACAACTGAACAGAGCACTGTGGGGTCTAGGTTGGGAAGAGCTGCTCTACGGCTTTCACAAGTGAGGATCTGGGGAAGCGCTAGTGTTCTTTGGGACAGTTTAGGGAACAGTCTATTTCTCCACTCGCCCAACAGTTACCAGGCTCCCCAGCCCCTTGACAAGAGGACAAAGTGACTTATGCTATAGAAAACCTGGGAGAATTGACACTTTGAAGACTAAGAACTGAAGTTAGGTTCCTCTGAAATTTCTGATTTATTTATAATCATAATGTCTTAGGCATGGAATGCATGTATATTCAATAATCTTTATATGGTAGTACCTAGGAGAATTTGTTAACTTTGTTTCCTTCACCAGAGGAAATAATATGTGAAGTATGCCAGAAAACATTTAAACGCAAAGATTACCTTAAGCAACATATGAAGACTCATGCTACAGAAAGGACCGTCTGTCGATGTCCAAGGGAAGGCTGTGGTAGAACCTATACAACTCTATTTAATCTCCAGAGCCACATTCTCTCTTTTCATGAGGAAAGACGTCCATTTGTGTGTGAACATGCTGGCTGTGGCAAAACATTTGCAATGAAAGTAAGTACTCACACTCACAGATGCAGTCTTTCAGGTCTGTGTCTTTGCACCTGGGCTTCTGGCGCCCCGACTCCAAGATGGTGTTCTGGCACCTACACATGGGGAAGGCCGGATGAGTCGGACTCTGGCTCTTCCACCCTTTAGTCAGTGGTTCTTGACCAGAGTCTGAGGAATAACCAGATTTGCTTGTGCCAGTAGTTCTGTGACCCTGCACTAAGAACATCACAGCACCTGGGAACGTACTAGAAATGTACATGTACAGACCCCGCTCTAGACTTAATATTCTAGGTGGGCCCAGTAATGTATGTTTTACCCAACTCTCCAGGTGATTCTGTACGTGATCTGAGTGAGACCTAAGGGCCTGTTGTACTGAGTGTGACCTAATGGCCTGTTGTACTATAGGCTTAGGTGTAAGTTGTATGCTGGCACTTTGGGTGTCTTTTTGGATCGCCACCACCTGAGTCTTCCTTTTAGGCTATCATTAACCTAGGAACTGAGATGGGAAGAGGGCAGCAAGCACAAGAGGGAATCACAACACTTTGGGAACCTAGTCTAGATCTTGGTGTGGTTCAAGTAGGACATGACAGTAAGTGCAGGCCTGTGTGGTTTGCAAACTGAACTGCCGAGGCTCTTAACAAGCGCTTATAAGAAAGACTAAGGAGAGAAATGAGGTTCCGAACCATGGTTAGTGTTATTATCAAGGATTTTCTGCTGGGTGTTTGGGAATACTTTTGACATAGATTCAGTTAAAAGACCTTCCTTGGACCCTCGCTGGTGGCTCAGCAGGTTAAAGTGCAACACTATAAAGCTCTCTACAGCCACTGCAGCGCTAATTCAATCCCCAGCCAGGGAGCTGACCTACATGGTGTGACAGGCCTCTTCTGACCACCTGCTGCTCCCCTCAGCAGTGTATTTTAGTACATCTGCCTGTTCTGCTCCTCACTATGTCTCTGGTGAAATCTCTCATCCCTTCACCTCTGGCCTGTACCCTAGTTCCTATATGTGTAAATATATAGATCTTTAAAAAAAAAAAAAGAACTTCCTTACACTTAGAATAGTTCATTCAGAACTGGTTGACCATTTTGGGTCCCCCACATTAAGTCCCCCTTACTTATGAGAGAACTAAGAAGCTACAGGAGAGTCAGACTCTGAATTCCTAACCTGGATCCTCAGATAAAGAAGTGGTTGAAGTCCAGGATTTGAGGAAGAATTCTGCGCTGGTGGGGCTCCTTTAATGTACAGGCAAATTCCTCACCAACATAACTGGTTTATTTAAATAAGTCATGGAATTTTCATATAAATAGACAACAAATGGCAAATACATGTTTTTTCTTTTTCCTTCATTACAGCAAAGTCTTACCAGGCATGTAGTTGTACATGATCCTGATAAGAAGAAAATGAAGCCCAAGGTAAGTTGAAACAACTTAGGCAAGCTGTTCATTTTAAAACAAACTGCTTAAGCCAACTGCAGTCTACTTAGAATATTTTCAAGCACATACTATTGTGCGGATCTGTGCTACTGTCAAAAATAATTACATGAATTTCATGTTCTTAATAAAGGAGTATTGTATACCTATCAGATGTATATGAATTGTGAAATTAGTCCGGATAATTTTAATTTTGAATTCTAATTGCCTGTTTGCCTTATCTCCAAAGGTGAAACGATCTCGTGAAAAACGGAGTTTGGCCTCTCATCTCAGTGGTTATATACCTCCTAAAAAGAAACAAGAACAAGGCTCATCTTTACCTACAAACAGAGAGTCACTCAGCTGTACTGGAGGCCAGGTGCTCTCGACAGCTGCAGTGCTTGCTCTCAGCTAGTGCTGGGCTGCTTTGTTGAAAGGACTACAGACCAGCCAGCTCAGTTATTTTTCTCAGAAGCCCCCTCCCTTTTTATATTAAAATCACTGATGCAGAACATCTGATTCTCTGTCACGCCCATGTTCTTTGTTGGCCGTGTCTTCATTCTGGGTTCCTTGCAGTTCTTTATATGCTTTCTCTTCCTTTTGGCTCAAAGGTCGAAGAACACACATTACAGCTTTTCCTCCTCTAGCAGGTTGTGGCCTGGATGAGAATGTAGCTATTCCAGGCATAGTCTGAAGTATCTGATCAAATATCTCCTCCTAAAAGAGGGAAAACAAATAAGATTAGTTAAGACAAATGTGATATTAACTCCTTCTAGTGTTAGTGCTCTAATATCCATAAAAGGCAGCATTACTGAAGCACTATTTAAGTGATTAGCTAAAATCAATCTCTACATTTCTAGTTAAACTGAGTGAAACCAGTATAATGACCAGTAAGTTATACAAACTACATTCAACTACACTAATGCACGCAAGGGTTGCTGCTTCCAAACCCGCAGTGTGTGAAGCGCGGTGGGTAGCCTTGGCCCCAGACTGCCTCTTGTAAAGAACAAAAGAAGTGGGTTGGGGCATTGGCAGAGTGCATCCGTGTCGGCTCAGTGTAGACCCGACCACTCACACAGACTCACGTGAGGTGATTAGAAAAACAGTTCTAGAGATCTAGGCACACAGAATTCTATCAACTAGAATTGGAACCTTTTCGTTGCTGAAAGTTATGTAAGTCTAGAAGTGAAACAGATGTTTCAACTTAACTGGGGATAGTCAACCGATAGACACCTCCTAAAAGACAATCTGACTTTCTATATAATACTTCTCGTGGGCATTTATAGAGTATACAAAATTGGCAAATTGAATCGCTATAAAATCTAGCTTATTTAAATGTTAGATATTCCCTAATTTGTAAAATGCAACAGTATAGTCTTTGTGAAGTAAAATGTTTTCACACGGCAAATGCTTATTGCTACTATGCAAAATGTATATACATTTTGTTTACATTCTGAAAAATACACTGGAAAGCTATTATCACTGGATAGAATAAATAGTCACTTTCCTTTGCTTTTACATTTCCAGACTTTCTACAATTGTATTTTTTGACCAGAAAACAAACACACGAGCTGTTGTGCATACCTACTTTTACTTACCATTTTATTTTCTGGCTCTTCTTTGTTTTTCCCTTTCTTTATAGTAATTTGAACTTTGTATTTTCTCTCAATCCACTGTTGAATCTGTTTACTCTTTGTGTTCAAGTCATGTTGCCCAATAGTTGAAGAAAACGTTAGTTCCTTTGTCAGGGTAGGCCCTAGTTTGAAACAGTGAGAGTTAGTGCTAGTACTATTTACTAATCTATTTACAAGTCCTGAACTTGACCACATTGTAAAATCTTAGGTGGCTACTTCGACCCAAACTATTCTCTTTTCTGATTTATTTTCACATAACAGTACATATACCTCTTTAAACAGATGACTAAGACATAAAAGTACTGATTTTTTTTTTTACCTGCCAAGAAGAGTACTTAAATATGAGTCCCTTCCATTTTCTGTTAGCAACATTTAAAAACACCAAAAGAATGGTTCATTGAAAATAAGTCTAGGGGGCCTCCATGATGGTGTAGGGCCAGACAGCCCTATCACGTTATTACCAGCCACTGCACGCTTTCAATCCTTGGGCTGGCCAAGGAGCTGACCCACATGGTGCAACGACCCCTCCTGTCTCACCCGCTGCTCCCTTCAGCACTGTACTTCCATACATCTGTCTGTTCTGTTCCCCACTCTGTCTCTGGTCAATCCTCTCATCCCCTCCCTTACCTCTGACCTACAACCAGTTCTTGTTATGTCTAAATAAATTTTTAAAAAATAGTAAGTTTAGGGCCCTCCCTGGTGGTGCAGTGGGTTAAAGCACGGCACTAAAAAGCTAAAGCCACTTTAGCATGAGTTGGATCCCCGTCTGCCCCAGAGGTGACCCACATGGTGTGGCAGACCACTCCAGGTCCGCCCGCTGCTCCCCTCAACAGTGTATTTCGATGATCTGCCTGTTCTGCTCCCCACTCTGGTGAGTCCTCTCACCATCCCTGTACCTCTGACCTGTACCCCAGTTCTGTATGCACAAATAAATCTTTAAAAAAAAATAGTAAGTTTAGCTTTACAATAAAACACTAATTAAAGGCATTGGGACTACTGAGTCTTCATATGGAAGAAATTGCACACAAGAACTTCCCCACATGGACTGTCAAGCATGAAAATATACAACTTTAAAGCAAATAGAGAATTAATGTCTGTGACCTCAGGATAAAGGAAGTATTTCATTAAGAGATGTCTGATAATGTTCTATATCAAAAACACTACTGGGTAATAAAAAGCAAAAATGATAAATCTTAGGTGGGATAGTGTTTTTGCATCATGCAAAACAGAATCCTAGGTATCAGGAATAAACTATCAAAGCAGGAAGATGGAAGTATGAACAGATAACTCACAGGAGACAAATGAAAATGATAACAGGTTCTTACCCATCAGTATTGCAAAAGTCTAACAATACCAAGTATGGGTGAGGATGTAGAGAAATTTCACACAGTGCTGATGTATGGGGGTGATGAGTTGCCCCATAGTATATGGAAAGTACAAAAGACAAAACTGATGGATATGCTCATCATTCAAATGATTAAAAACTGGAAGCAAGTCCAGTGTTCATAGAAACTGATGGTATATTCCTATGATGAAATATCACTTGACAATTATAATTAGCTATAGCTGTTAACAAACAGCATGAAGATAGAGTGTACTGATTCTAATTTTTATGCACACAAAACTATTCCTTTTATGAGTGTATTTGTGTGAAACGAGTTTAACAACTGAGTCACGGCCTACGCTGAGTCACGGGAGTGCAGATGCACTTCTGGGAAGGGAAGATGGAAAGGGAGAAGGCACATGGGGTTGACTTTTTCCATAAAGTTTGCCTTGTTTCAAAAATCTTAAGTATGACATGACAATACTTTTTGTTTGGGATGGTGGGTAACAGGTACTCACAGTATTTTATTTTTTCTATATGCTTTTTTTTTAAAGATTTTATTTATTCATTCATACAGAACTGGGGTACAAGTCAGAGGTGCAGGTGAGAGGATTCACCAGAGACAGAGTGGGGAGCAGGACAGGCAGACTGACAATGTACACTGCTGAGGGGAGCAGCAGAAGGGTCAGGAGAGGTCTGTCACGCCATGTGGTCACCTCTGGGGCTGGGCGATCGAACTCACACTGAAGTGGCTGCAGCTAGCTTGCAGTCCTAACCCGTTGTGCCACCAGGGAGGGCCCATCTATATGCTTTTTAATTTCCAAAATGAAATAGTATTTCTAAGAAAGAGTTCTTTTATTAACACTTTCATGCTTCTTTAGAACTCCCACTTGTTGGTCCCAGTTCTCCAGCAAAGGAACCCTTTAGACAAATTAGTCCTTCTAATAGCTCTGAATCAATGTGTCTCCTCCAAGCTGCTTCAGTCTGTTCAACATATTACCCCTGTGATACAGTTTAGTGTTCTTACATGCTAGTTGGTCTGCTTCTTTTGTTTAACAATCAACATCCTTGTTAAATGTGGCATTCCAAAACTGAGCCACAGAAGTGTGAGATTTTCTCAAGTTCCCAGTGGAACTCTAGAACTATCTCATTGACCCTTGTGCCAGTACATTCCCAAAAAACAATCTTTCATAGTGATTAGTATTAACAGCAATCAGGAAAACTAACACCCTCACTTAATATCCAATCCCAGGCTTCTGTAGGGTTTAAATGACAAGTGCTTTGGTAGGGTGAGTGGTCAACATGAATGTCTACATAATTATTGAACCAACAATGATCTCCCATGTCCCCCGCATGGAAGAGAGTATGAATCACTTCAAAATTTAATTAACCAATTAATTAGATGTAATTAACCAAATGCCCTCACCTTCGAGATGTGGGTGGGGAGGAAGGGGGAAGACAGGTAAGTGGCCCAGGACTTGAATCCATCTCTTCTAAGCGTCTCATTAGCCCCAGTAATGAGTCTGCCTGCCCTCCGCTTTAGGAGACAAAGCTAAGGCCAAATGGGGAAAATGAGTCCCTGTCATTTTGGTTGTGGCTTTTTTTTAAATCTCTCCTTTTACATGGTTTAAAGGAAGAGAAAAACGGGCATAGGGCAGACAGAAATAAAGGGGGGCGGGAGGAAAGAATGAAAACAAATGATGGGTGAAAAAAATGCCCTGGAAATGATGGTCAAACCATGAATTTTCCAGTTTTTTTAGTTCCCTGCTATCACAGACACTCTGGCAAATGCCAGAGCTTAAACTGTTGACTTGGAGACCTTAGGAGACGAGACAAAGAGCGAAACACCTACCAGTTTTAGACTTAGCCTTCTCCAGCTCTCTAAGTCTCAACCGTTCTTCGTAGATCTGAGCCCCCGTCAGGAGCTGGTACTCTGGGGGCTCTGTGGTGGTGTTTCTCTTCACCAGCCTCAGGTCGCTCTTGTCCAAGAGTCGAATCACCTCTGCTCTGTGCATGTTTCCCAAGTCATTGCCCTTCTCATCAAGCACATGAATGATTCGGTCATGAATTTTTCTTCCAATGTTACTGAAAGTTGTGTCATTCTTTTTCTTCTTTGTCGTTTCAACCTCAGTACCTTCCACAGAACTGAAAGCTTTTGCGTGAATTCGGCAGCACAGCCGGGAGGCAGGAGCAACAAGGGCCAAGTGCGCTGGTGCTGTTTGCTGCACCAGGTATTTCCCCAAACATCTTCGAGTGAAAGTACTTTCAGTCTTTATAGTCTCTAGTACTAACCTCTTCAGAAAAAGAGTAGCCATCCTAAAAAGTAGAACGCTCATTAACGTTCAATCACTTATTGACATTGTGGCTTGACATTGTGTTTCCTGGAAGGAGCATTTGAGGCTGTGGGGACCATGACATCTGTGAATGTTCTGGATCCATACATGAAAATTTACACACTGGGTAAAACTTAGGAGAGCAGTTCTGAAGGAGTGATGGGAAGATCCATTCATAGCACTCAGGATGCACCAAGAATTACTAGAGAATTAAGAACTCAGAGAGTAGGCAAAGAAGATAGAGGAAGGGATGAAATGCCATCCTCTCCTCCCTAGAGGTTCATCCCAAAGAGTGGCCCCTGAGTCACTCGCATGAGGATGACCAGAGGTTAAACTGGAAATCCTCGGTCTTCCCTGTCATCTGTGACAACGCAACCTTCAGCAATTCATCAGCAAACCCTGTCATTCAGCCTTTAAAATGCCATCATCTCTCATCTGGATTACAGTAACAGCCTCCTGACTGGCCTCCCCGCTTCTGCTCACCTGACTTATTACCTACATGTGCTCAGAATGGTACTTCAAAACGCTTAAGATCACACCTGCTCTTGTTCGCAACCCTCCACTGGCTCCCATCTCACTAAGAGTAAAAGCCAAATAAAAGCCACAGAAAGGCCTACACGGCCTTCCGTGGCCCGGCTCCTGCCCTGTGTTTGTGGCCCCTTCCTCCAGTTCTCCCTTGCAAGCACTGCACATTCTTCTCCTTTGGGTGCCGACACCACACCAAGAAGTGCCCGTCCCTTAGACAGCTGCATGGTTCACCTGCGTTAGGTCTCTGCTCAAATGTAATGACTCACTTAAGCCTTCTCTGTCCACTCTATTTTTGAAAAACAGCACAGCCCAGCACTTTCAAACCTATTACCTCGCCTTCTGAAAAAATGTACTACCTGACATGTATATTTACTTACACATGTTCATTATCTCTTCTTACTAGGATGTAAGTTCCATAAGAAAATGTAATTTATCCATTTCTTTCACTGCAGTGTTCCTAACACTAGAGCCTGGCTCGACACGTACAGTGAGCAGCTGGCTAAATGAGCCATAGGAAACTGCAGGATGGCCAGGTATGCTGGCATCGAACCTCTTGGTTTCTGGGTACTTCACTCCCCTCCAATACACACAAATGTTGGTAAGTTGCACCCCTCACATTTCCAGCTGGCATTTCAAATGTCCACCAAGGTTAGCAAGTATAGGGTAAATGACATGGTCAGAATTTAGTGCCACTGGCCTCTGTGGCTGTCACCTGTGGCCTTAAATGTAGGAAGCGCTTGGGAGTGTGGGCTCAGGCATGGGTGGGCGCCTGGGGTATGGCGTGGGTGTGCGTACGTGGACGCACCTGAGCCTGGAGTCTGTGGCTACAAGGGTGGCATCACAGAGGATGACGCTACAAGAGAATGTCAGCGTGCCCAAGGAGCAAGTTAAGATTCGCTGGGGCTGGAAGGCCCGCAAGCCTCCCAGTCCCCAGAGCCCCCTGCCTGCCCTGCACCTGGCTGCCTCACTACAAATGCTGTAGAAAGATCATTAAGCCTGAAAAAGCCACGAAGGGCTCCAGGACTCTCCTTTACCGTCTCCAGAATCAATCAAGAACCTGACCCGGTCTTGTTGCCGCACTGTGAGTCTATAGCTAGTTGTTTCACCCACACTGAATGAGGTGAATTAACAGGTAATCATGAAGTGGTTGGAAACACTAGTTATAACACTGTAGCTTTAAACTAGTAAAGTTGAAGATATATGTCTCTACAAAATAAACTCTTAGTAGATAAAAATGTCAATATAAAGTTAAAATCCTATGTTATGGGTGATTTGGTGATGGGAAGCCCAAGGGGAATACAACTGGGAGGGAAAAATGCACAAAATGATGTAAAAATGAACTATCATATTATTAACAACAAATGTTAAAGTTGAAGTACAAGTATCAACATAATTTAAAAGCTTTTATTAGGAAAAAATTCAAACATATTTAGAAAAGACTAGTATAATAAACTCAATCACTCAGCCTCCTAGTTAACAGCACATGACCAAACTTTTTACATCTCTATCACTCACCTGCTTCCCCCAGCCATCCATGAACTATTTCCAAGTAAATCCTGTCTCATCAGTAAATAAGTATTCCAGTATGCCAGCTCTGAGTAAGGACTCTGGCCATAAGTTACAAAACCATTATGCCAGCTAATAAATATTCCTCTATATCATCAAATATTCAGTTTTCAGATATCCTTAATAGTATTTTTGCTTTGTTTGTTCACATTTCATTTACACTTTGGTAGCACGAAGAGACTCCCAACTAGTCAAATGCATGAGAGTTTAAACATTAAGAAATAATGGCTGAAAATCATTCAAATACAATGAATATACCAAAAAAAAAGATCATTTACAGCACTCTGTGACTGTTACCCTGAACTCCTAATTTTGAAAACTGATAAAGAAAAAAAAAGTATTCTTCCTTCTAAGGAAGAACTGTAATCATCTCCTGAAGAGGGTAAATTCTTCTTGAGAGAATGCCAGCTAGTTATTAGAGAGGACAAGTTAAAGGAATTTGAAAATTAGCAGTTTTGTCACTTCCTGTCAATGATTCCGGGAAAGATGAGTGGAAAAACCACTAGGTTAAAAAGCTAGTGCACAGGGCCCTCCCTGGAGGCACAGCAGGTTAAAGCGCAGCACTAAGAAGCTAAACCCTCGTCAGCATGAGTTTGATCCCTGCCCTGGGAAGATGAACACATGGCACCGCAGACTTCTCCTGACCTGCCGCTGCTGCCGACTGATACCCTCAGCAGTGTACCTCATCAGTCAGCCTGTTCTGCTCCCTACTCTGTCTCTGGTGAAGCCTCTCACTGCCCCTGCACCTCTAGTCTGTACCCCAGTTCTGTATGAACAAATAAATAAATCTGAAAAAAAAGGAAAAAGCTAGTGCAGACACAAAGTATTCATGTGGCCATGGGGAAACAAAGAGACATCCAAAGATTACTTCCAAACTGAAAAAGGGGAAAGGCCTCTGCTGTCACCTTGACTTGGCATGCTGTGTGTTTCAAGTGATATTGGGCTGTGTTCTTGATATTTTCTTCTTATTCTTCAATTGTCTAGATTTGGAGGACTATCTATTTTCCTTAATTTTAAAACCTATGATAATGTTTAAACATAAAGTTCAAAGATTGTACAACACTCTAATACCTATTTGTTTAAATTCTGTCACTTGCTTTACCTTTCCATCACTATATTCTACTTGTTTTATGTTTTAAAACATTTTGTAATGTTCAAATTAAGCAGCAGACACTGGTCTACTTCATGCTCAAAAACTTCAGTATACACATATTATTTTTGAAGTTCATATTTCCTTACAATTCTTATTTTGAGACAAAACTTACAATTAAATATACATATCTTAAGCATATCATTGGATTTGTTTTGACAAATATAAGACATCTGTAAGCAAACTCTTCAACATGTAGAATATTACCACCACTGCCATTTCCCCTAACCCCCAAAATTCTCTACATCTCTTTCAAGTCACTCTTAATTTTCAGGCAACAACTGTCGTGATTTTTTCCATTTTATTAGGTTTAAAGGTTGATATAAATGGAACCAAACAGTACTCTTTATTCTAAGGCATAACAGCATGTTTTTGAGATTCATCCACATTGTTACACTTAACAGCTGTTCCTTTTTATTCTGAGAAGTGTCCCAGTATATGAATATATTGCAATTATTAAACCCAGTTTCCTGTTGGCCATTTAGACTGTTCCCAGTTTTTAGCTATTATGAATAAAGTGTTTATGTATATTTTGGTATCAAAAACATAATCAAATGATTACTGCTCCAAAGGCCAGCTGCATTCTCCTTGCGATACATTATTATCATCTCTTTGTTGTACCTCTTCAGGAGATACTGGTATAATGGTAAGGAAATGTCCTGGATCATGATTTAAATATGTGGTTATGAGGGACTCCTGGCCTATAAGAAATCATCTATCACTGCTATCCTAGATTATTATATCACCCAGTCTTTCACCACACCTGAATGCCCCATCAGTGCTCCCCTACACTATGACCACACACTGTGCCTGTCTCCCCTTAAAAATACCCCAAGACTAAATAAACTTTAGCATCTTTCATGAGGCCCTAAAAGGCCCTAGTCTCATTCTATACCCTAAACCACACCAGTCTTTCAGATTCTTGAAGCATTTTTTTAAATTGTATTTTGAAATCCTTTAGGAACCGCCTCATGGTTGTTTAGTGCTCTTTCTGGACAAAACTGTTTCATATTAAGTCAAATCTCCCATTACCATCCCCACCCCACCCCCATGTTTGTTGAGCTCAACACTAAACCTTTCCAGAGTAGAGTTTATTTCCCCTTTACGACACTTACTTATCTTTAATTATCTTTAATAAATGACTGTTGTTCTCCACCTGACCGTAAATTCTACAAAGCAGGGAATTAATCTTTCATCCTATACTGATAGATCAGCCAGTAGTAGCTTATTTTCCAGATGTCCCTCCACTTTGTACTTTCTTAGCCCGAGAATTTCATAACTTGTAACTGGAACTGCGGCTTTTGAGTAAGAAAACTTAAACGTGCTTCTTTCAGAGTCTCCTGCCATGAAGCTTACTTAAGCTAAGTGGGAGGGAAAAGTATGTTCACATCGCTTTACAACCCTGCCCACCAGGACACCCCTAGCAGGTGCAAGGAGCAGGGAAGGTGTAAGAGCCGCCTTTGCCTCCCAGGAGACAAGTTCAGGCAGGTACTGCCGGGTCGCGAGCGAAGTGGAGTGAGTCACGTGAACCAGAAAGTGGTCACGCCCACTCGGAGACTAGGCTCGCGAGGGCCTCTGGGCCGGACAGGAGGCGTAAGGACGTCCAGCGGGTGGGTGCGCGCGTGCACCCGGGAGGCAAGAGGGACACTGAGGGAACTGAAGGATCGCCTCTGGAACTAGGTCCCAACCCTGAAGTCGGTTTTACAGTCCAGCTGAATCCCCGCCCTCCGGCAAGGTGTTCGGCCTCCGCGCTCCCGCCCAGCGGGGTGCCGACACCTAGGAACACAGCGTAGTGCCGCTTCCTCCGCGAGTAAGTCCCTAACACCACCTGCTGCTGGTCCCCCTACCCGCTCGGCGCCCCCTTGCCTTTTCTCTACCTGTGCCGGGGATGGCGACTGGTGAGAGTGGCGGAAGTTCTCCTGTGGACGGCCTCCGCGGTGAGACCCGCTTCGCTTTCCGTAGTGGGCGGGGCTTTGGCTGACTGTTAAAGGAACGGAGTCAGCGAGAGGATCGCCTTTCCGGTTGGCGGAATAAGTTTCCCCGACAAAAAATGCTCAGGGCGTGGGCAAGTTCCTGCCGGAAGTTGTCAGTCACCTGGCTCCTTCCGCGCAGAGGTGAGAAGACTAACGGGCGGTCTCTGTGTCTGTAATTAGATAACTGCTTTATCTAGTTACATTACGATGACGCCAACCTCGGGATGGTTACACGCCCCGCTAGGGCTTCTACAGAGCTTTAATAGATGTGTTTCTGATGTAACAGTGTTTTGATACATAATAAACTATTTCGTAAATGTCTTCATTCTTGTGAGTTAACTACACTGCCACGATTTGCAGGTGAGCAGACCCCGGAGTAAAAGGGTTTCGAGGTAAAGCGCTGCTAGCGGGCCGGACCTCGTGCTCGCGCGTCCTGAGCTTCCCAGCGCGCATCACGGGGTCTGAACTGGCTTGTAAGAGGCAGAGGATGGACCTGGGGCAGCTCCAGGCAGGTCTAGGATGTGAAGGGGAGACCGGGCCGTGGAGGTTACCTGGTCTTACTCTGTCGGGCAGTTCTAAACTCACTGGGAGCGGAGCTCATCGCCAGCGGGCCCGTTGGAGCCAGCCCTGGGCTGCCGGGCTGCTGTGCCTTTAATTGGACTGTTGGAGTCCCTGTCACCGTCACTTTGTAGTGGCACAGTGGGATCCCATAATCTAACTTGGTGAAGCCACCTAATTAGAGAATACTTTCATTTATCATGTAAGGAAATTACATATATTGGATACTTCCAGCTCAGAGCTTCATTTTTTACTCCTTGTATGAGGTCTTATCTATCTCGTTACTGTATTTTGTTATAGATGTGGAAACTAGCTTAGCCCTAGCTCTTTGAGAGCCAGGCTTCGAACCCACATCATCTAACCCATCCAGCTTTGAATATCTGTTCTAATAGTAAAGTGGTGTATATCAGCAGGCGAGGGGCAGGATCTCCATTGCTTCAGGCAGAAAGGTAGAGGAGAGTCCTGGAGCCCAGGGTGGCTTTTTCAGGCTTTTAATAACCTTTCTACGCCATTTGTAGTGAGGCTGGGGGCAGGGGTGGAGGGAGTGTTGGGGGGGCGGGGGGCGCAGGAGTCTGGCAGGCCTCCCAGACCTTGGGGTAGCAGTCAATTCTTACCTCGTTGAGATCTCTTATTTATCTCTCTGAGATATCGATCTCTCAAGCTGTCTTCTGCCACTCTGTCACACACTGTTCCCGGACTCCACCCTTTTATCCCCAACCTCTTTGCTCATGCCCACACCATACACCAGATGTCCACATTCAGGCACATGTGCCTGGCATTCTCTGGTGATCTCTCCTCTGCGCCCTGCCGCACAGTCCTCTGTGACAGCGCCCTTATATGCTCAGCCTCCAGGCTTGGCTGTGCCCACTTTCACATGCCCACACCATACCCCAGGTGCCCACCATCAGGCATGGATATACAGAGCCTACACTCCCAAGCACCTCCTGCATTCAAGGCAGCAGACCATAGCAAGAAGCCGGTGGCACAAAAGCCTGAGCAATCTTCATTTATCCTACAAGTGGTAACTGACTCTTCTAAGACCCCTTCCAGCCTTTATGGCTTCTAGTTACTAAGGCACATTTCTTGGCTTGATGAGATAATATTACTATGCCATGAATCCTTGGTAAACTGAATCAATGTGTGTATAGAAGAGTTCAGGAGTGTCTGGAGTTTTCCCAATTTTTATTTTTCTACCTGATATTTACAGAAACAACAACAAGCAAATATAAAAGTGTAACTCAGTAGGTCTCAAATAATGGTGACTGCATTTTTTGAGCGCAGAGTAATTTTCATGGCTGGTCCCCAGCACTTGGCATGTTCTCACACAATGCATCTGCTGGTGTTTGGTTCTAATGAAGGATTAAGGAAGTATTTGGCTCCTCCATTTGGTGTGGAGGGAATCATCAGAAGCAGGGAGGCTTGAAGCAGAGTTGCCTGTTCAAAAGTCACTGAAGTTCATTATATCAATTCCACAGAGGATTAGTCTATGGATGATTCTTTTAAAAAATTACAAGACTAGGACCCTCACTGGTGGCGCAGCAGGTTAAAGCACAGCACTAAGAAGCTAAAGCCACTTACGCATGATTTTGATTCCCGCCGGCCCCGGAGGTGACCACATGGCATGGCAGACCTCTCCTGACCCGCCCGCTGCTCCCCTCAGCAGTGTACTTCGTCGATCTGCCTGTTCTGCTCCCCACTCTGTCTCTGGTGAAGTCTCTCACCGCCCCTGAGCCTCTGGCCTGTACCCCAGTTCTGTATGCGCAAATAAATAAATCTTAAAAAAAAATTTCATGTCTACTAAATAAAAGTTTATGTATGATAGGTTCATTTATCTCCTGTGAAAAGTATTTTGTGCAACTGAATGAAGGGGAAAATAGGTTCAAAAGCCTCATTTGTAAAAACAGCAGTCATGTGTTTCCAATTCAAAGGTGTTTCCGTTTTCCAACACTTGAAAATAATTTCAACAACTGACCCATCACAGGCTGTCATGCAGAAATCAGAGTACAGTACACCTTGCAAGACATACAGCGTTTCCTAGTGTGTACACAATACTAAACAGGACCAAGTAACCAGTCAGCACTTTACATTTTAAAGAAAACCCAGTCCTGTTTAAACACCCACACAAGATCTTCTAGCCACAAGGCTTTTTAAGGAAGTCAGCGCTACAACAAATATAATGTTAGGAATTGTAGGGTCAATGGAACTTACTGGGTATTTCCCGCCTTCCCACCATTAGCATTAGTGATCAACACCTATGGGCTCGAATCTGTGCCTGATGGTGGCACCTGGAATGCAGAGTGCCCGTGGGTGAGTGGATACACCTGGTGTCACAGCCGTGCAGCCAGCAAAGAACAGACTGTGGCGGCAGAGGACTGTGGAGCGGGTTGCAGTAGAGCCCAGTGAAGAGACTGCATGACAACGCCAGAGAGCTCAGCAAAGATTCGCCAGGACTGGGAGGCCTGCCAGGCTCCTGGCCCTCTGACCCCCTGCCTTCCCTGCACCTGGTTGCCTCACTACAAATACTGTAGAAAGATCATTAAAAGTCTGAAAAGCCACTGAGGGCTGCAGGACTCTCCTTTACCCGGCTGCCCGGATCACAGAAAACCGGCTTGGTGCCTTGTGGGAGCTACTGGAATAAAATAAATCTGTAGTCTCACGGTTTCCGATCTTTGAAGGAAATGGGATGAAAGACAAGTGATTCCGTTTGGGAAAGTTCCTCAAATGTGGAATTTTACATGTTTACTGTAGCGAGAACACTTTCCACTGTACATTTCAGTCATTGTTTGGCTGCTGGCCCCTGCTGCAAAGATTTTAAAGGCTGTTTTGTTGGCAGCCTGAGAAGCATCCATGACCTTACCAAAGTAGAAGTGAAAGCTCTCAGTTTTTCTTCATTCTTTTTTTTTGCAACAGTAAATCTACCAATTTTACAGTCAGTTGAACAGCAATAGGTTAATTTGTTTAAAGTCTGCATTCACAAAAAGAGAAGAAAAAAGTAGACAAAACCCTGAACTTCAGTGGCTTGAATGCCTGAAACTGCAGTGTGATAGTTGAAGGATAGACACTCTTATAACTCCTTCTAGAAGGAAGCAGGCAGTCCACTGTCACCTGCTTCTCTGTACAGGTGCTGACCCTGCGGTCGATTCGGGGCCTCCTGACAGGGTAGCAGGAGGGCTAGGCCTTTGTGTACTACAGAGAACACTTTTCCAAGGCCTAGGCAAGTTTTCTCTGGCAGCCACAGGAAACAGAAGAAAGAAAAGGTTAAGGGCCACCATAAGGGTCAGAATGGGTTAAATTTGGTTAACATCAGAGGTTATAGCTTTTAACAAGAGCTTCAAGAAAACTTACTCGAAGATGCAATTTGTTTCTTCTTTGTCAGCCATTATTTTTTTTAGCCTATTGATAGTGACAGCTTAACAAAGTTTTTATAAGCTAGAGGTTTTCATCCCTTAGAGAACAAAAGAGACTGTGTTATCAAAGAGAGATGCAGGTGGAGGACTTTATAAAGCTTCCATGATTTTCAAATTGGGAGCTTTAAAATAGACTCCCTGCTTGGCTAAGTCAAAAATAATCTGTGGGGATGTTGAAAAAACTCCCCATTAGACATGAAGGAATGCTTCAGCAGTCAGATGCAGAGGCTCATAGTTCTAGAAACTTCTTTATGTATATTTTACTTTCAGTCATCCTAGTATCGTTTTCTTATTTGTTCAAAATTACCAAAGAAACCACCTTTTCAGTTTCCACACGTGTTTCTTTACATTTAGAGCAAAATACTGGGCAGAACTGGTTACTATTCTATGTCAGCAAAAAAGATTTTATTTTTTGACCACAGATTTCTTTCTGCTCTTCTCATTCTGTTACTCCACATTTTCCCATTATGAACGATTACAGAAACTGGTCTTTCACAAGTCATGTAAACCTCAATTGGAAATTCATACCTTTCAGTAGGTGTTATTACCCAGGACTGAGTTGAGTGTCTTACATCATGTTGATCATGTGGTAAATATGACGCTCACCTCTTTGGAATGAGTTGTAAGAAGCATTTAGCTGAGGGGTTAGAATGCTGTTAAACTTCCTACCCGAGTAAGCAAGATGAGCGTAATGTACCCATTCTGGAACTGAACTATAATATGCACTTGCAAACATGCTTGTTTCAGATATGGTGAAGACTTAATTATTATTGCAGAAGTAAGATTTCATAGAAATCTTCCAGATACCTAAACTTACCTTTCAACTGAACATAAAACTTCTTTATTCTTCCTCATTTGAATAAAAGTATTTTATACAATACATTATGAAGGTTATTGCTTTCTGAAACATGGTATAATGAATATTTTTTTTTCAGCTGTGTTAAATGTCACTACAGTACATGGCCCAAATTGCCAGTGGATTTTTTTTTAAAGATTTATTTATTTGTACATACAGAACTGGGGTACAGGCCAGAAGCTCAGGGGCGGCGAGAGGCTTCACCAGAGACAGAGTGGGGAACAGAACAGGCAGATCGACGAAGTACACTGCTGAGGGGAGCAGCGGGCGGGTCAGGAGAGGTCTGCCACGCCATGTGGTCACCTCCAGGGCAGGCGGGAATCGAACTCATGCGGAAGCGGTCTTAGATTCTGTGCTGTGCTTTAACCCGCTGCGCCACCAGGGAGGGCCTGCCAGTGGATTTTAATATCTATTTCTACCTTCTACAGATTTCTTATTCCTCTCTTACCATTGCAAGGTGAACTACCCCACCTTGTTGC